GATGGACCGAAAGACTTACCTACCCAGTTCAACTATAATCCAACCCGCCACTCGATCCGGTTAGGCAGATCGACCGAGCCAAATCAAGGCCGCGCTTTAACCGTTTCGTCTTCTTAGTTCCATCCAAAACACCCAAAAAACTCCAAAACAACCAGCCAAGTCACCGGAAAACCACCAGGAATACCAAAATTCACTCATATTCTAAAAACTTGTGTTCTAAACTCCCCAAAACCAGTCGAAACTACTCAAAAAATTCAAAGAACTTCGCCCTAAATTCCAAAGACTCAGCAAACAACGAAAACAAACCAAAATCAGTCCAAAGAAAAGGATATTTACCGTAAAACACTAGATTGTAGAAAGAGAGCCGCCGTTTGTCAAAACAATCCAACGTCGTTAAAAAGAAACTGGAACGAAGTTGAAGAAACAGAAAGAAAAGAAAATTTTTTTGAAGAGAAAAGGGGAGAAAAATGCGAACTGGAAGATGAACAGTCCACCCATTCGTTTTTAAAAGGAAAAACTGACAGCCGAAGACACGTGGCGACTCCCGATTGGCCACGAGTCAGAATTACTTTTCATTTTCCCGCCTTGAAAACAAGGATTTGATCTCCGCCGAACACGTGGCAAGCATCCGTGACACCTGGGAAACTGCAATGACTTACGGAAGCCTGGATCGATTGCCCTGATGTCCCGATCGAGTTAACACACGACCGTTAGTGGATCCAACATGCCCCCACGATTCACAAGCTTAGGAGGCCCTCCCAACTGGTCGATCAGCTTGGAACGGCCCGGCTCTAGCTCTCTCTAGATGAACAATACAGGGGCCTCGCCCATTTGTTCGTCTGTAACGGACGAGTGGGCAACCAATGGTTGAAGCTCGCATATCCCTTCCACTCGATCGCCCGATCCTCCCGACTAACTCGGCCGATCCTCTCGACTGACTCGACCCCTGATTTCTGAAGGCACTCAAAATGCCCCATGCTTCGACAGCCTGAAAGGCCTAATCGACCAGTAACGGCCCGGTTCTAGCCCTATTCAGAAGAACAAGGCAGGAGGCCTTGCCCGTTCATCCTTCCGTAAGCGGACGAATGGATAATTTTCGGTCGAGGTCCATATATCTCATCTACTCGATCGTCCATGCATCTCGACCGAGCGAAATTTTTAGTCTAATAAACTTCCTAACTCATTCGACCCGGCTTGATGAGCGAATACCTCGGCTATAGATCGATATCTCGCCCCTCTGGTCAACAGGATTTACCGAGCGAACACATGAACCCTGGAAACGCTACTAGGTGCCCCTTCGGCCCTTTACACCGATAGGGAGTACCGAGCGACCCTTGACAAAAGAGTTAAGCTACATCAGACTATTTTACTACACCACGGTCGATCATCTAGGAAGGAAGACCGAACACGCCTTGATTGCTACCTACTCTCTGACTTAAGAAACTCTTAACTCAGAGAGTGGGGGACAAACTGTTAGGGCCAAAAATCGTCATTGGCCCAAATAGGAAAACAGGACCACCAGTGAGGAAGAGGCCATCAGCCTTGCTGACTTGAGCCTCGGAGTGCCTACGGCAAACACCACCCTGGTGTTTCCCGTTCATTTCACGCGTTTGTTTCTCTACGTGTGCAGGTACAACAGATCGCTAGTGGCCTCAACCTCACAGGATTAGACCTCCCTTCCGTACAAGTAGATTTTTACGTATACATTGTTCTTTCATACTATTCCTTCCTAAGAAATGATCGTTCGTGTCTAGCTTTAGTGCCTTGGCTGTGGTGGGGTGACGTGACAGTTGCTAACTCAGCTATCATGTTGAGTTTATAAGAAAAAAGTTGTGAGATTAGGTTGTGGGAGTAATATTACTCCTAAATAACATCGTATGCAAATAACTTTTATTTTAAAATCCATGCAAGTTTAAAATTCAAAATTGAGAACTCCATTAAAGGTTAGATGGGGAGCAGACAAGCCTCTTTATGAAATATAATATAATATAATATAATTATGTTAATTTAATATGGAGTTTGAAAATAGTTTTAATGGGACTCAAATAATACTACTCAAAATTTATTATTTTTAAATATTGAAAATCATCTTTTGTTTGTCTTTTTAAATACAATACACGTTAATATCTTTGTAAACCATAGTTTTTTGTACGTGTTTTACCTTCTAGTATTTGTAAACCATAATCGGTAAAGAATGAAACCTTATGTAATCTAAATGGTCAACAATAAGATGCATCAAAATGTTGTTCCGTTTATTAGACATGGCATAGTATTTTATTTTGTTTTATTTTTTTGATAATAGGGAGTGTCTAGATCAGCTTACGCGCATTTCAAATAATCGCCTGAGACTCTGGAGCTACCGGTCGGATAAGAACTTCAATGGCTACCCCTATTAGTAATGAAGGAAGAACTCGAACTGAAAATCTCTTAAGTAATATACTCAAGAGTCTCTATCAAATCACTCGGACATCCAAGGGTTGGTTAAGACATAATATTTTGAACCTGCTTTCACACAAATATGACGGTTAGTCATTATGATGGTTGCTTCAATTAAACTCATTATGATGGTTGCTTCAATTAAACTATGTTTGAGTGAGTTTGAATAATATTATGGTCATACAATCTAATCCATTGGCAAAAAAATTCGTCCTGATTTTTTCTCCAATAAGGGGTTAATTAATCTAATACATAGAAATTGTTATTGCCTTTTATAATTGCTATAAAACTACTAATCCAATGATTTGTGGAAGATGGAGAAATACAACTCCTATGGTGATTGGTTGGTTTTTGTGTGTTTATTGTGGTGCAAAAGAAAACTGTTAAGAAGAGGGTGTTGGTGAATAAAATTTGATACGTAGAGGCCTATTATAAATGTTATTAATTCAGGGGTTATAAAATTAGTTTGTTAATTTCTTAGTATTAGAATAAAGAATTTTGTAAGGGTAACAAGGATATTTAAATGGTCAAAGCTCGTTAAAATGTGGAAGTAGCGAAGGGTGGAACTTTGATGATTTTTCATTCAAGGGTGGCAAAGTCGTTTTGGTAAACCTTGGGTGGGTACATGTATTTTGGCCTTTCCTTTACACCCAATCTGATATGGAAAAGGGGACAAGTTGTCCATGTAATTAGTCACTTACAAGTTTCAACTCTTTTAGTCAATTTTGGTGTTAAAGTTAATTAAGGGAAGGTAAAAAAGACTTTTTATGTTAAAATACGGAATTATAAATTAAATATTCCAAAATAATAAAATATATAGAAAAAGTTTATAAAAAATAAAATAAATTTTGAAATTTATCATTATTTTTAACAAAATTTACTTTTTTTTTTTTAAAGTGATCTCTTATCATCGAAACGACAAAACCACCATTCTTAGATTGTTAAAACCATTATCTCTTTTCTTAACAAAATAAAAACTCTAAATACCATAGTTGACTAAGAAAAAATAAAAATTACCTTTGATGATGCCTTAGCTTTCTGCAATTACATAAATACCCATAGATATTTTAAAATTTGACCACTATTACCTAAGTAAATTGATAAAAAAAAAAAAAATTTAATATGTTTCTTTAAAAGACATAAAAATATTAAAACAATTTATTAAAAACATGTACTTGTATTTCTTTTAACATTTTTTATTTGTAAACTAATTTTTTTTTTTAAATTAAAAATTGAAACATAATTTTTTTTTTTGCAAATTAATAAATACAAGATCAAAAAGTAAATTATTTTAGAAAGTAAAAGTATAAAAACATTAAAATATATTTTTTAAATTGAAAAATCAATAATAACACACACAAAAAAAAAAAAAAAAGGAGAGATCTTGATTCTAGCGACCTAAGAATGATGGTTAAAAATATTTTTTTAAATAATAAAAATATTTTATGTCTTATTTTAAAAATATTTAATTTATAATTCTGTGTTTTAACATAAAATATTTATTTTGTTCTTTCCTCAATTAGGATCACATAAAAAATTGCCGATAACAGGTGTAAATGGTTAATTAAAGGGGCACTTCGTCATTTCTTTATGTTATGGGGGGTAAGAAAACAGTCCTAACGGAGTCCTAACAAAAGTTAACGGAGTTGAGTAATGTTATATTTACAGTTGAATTGTACAATTGAGTTATACATACAAAAAAATAAACGATAAAGTAGTCATTTTACATAAATTTTGTATTATTTTTATCTATTTGTATGATATAGCTGTAACTTGTGAGCAAAACATTATTGGGTGCGTTTGGTTTATTATTTTATACCTTATTCCCAATCCTATTATCAAAATATTTGTTTGTTTAATTATTTAGGAAATACTATTATATTTTTTAATTACTTTTAGGCCCTTTAAGTTTATTAATTTCAAAATACTCCTAGAAACAAAGTTTAAAAATTAACAAAAACACCCTCACCCACCCATAGTTGCCAGATTCCAACAACCACTGTCGGTGGTAGTCGTAATATGTCACAATGACCTACAAACGATCAGAACTTACCGATAATTCGTCGATCTAGCCTTTTTCGGCCAGATCCACATTCCGACCAGATCCACTGTAGATCTGACCGAAAAAGGCCAAGAGTTGGCCGTCAACTTGGCTGTCACTGACGACCAACTCTTGGTCATCCCTGACTGCCAGATCTGGCCTTTCGCAGCCGTTAACGGCCAAATTTGGTTATTGATCTAGTCTTTTTCGGTCAGATCCGATAATAATCACTTTATTCAACTATCTAATATTATTTCTAAAATCCTATCTAAAATAAAAAACCAAACGGACCTATTATATTTAAATCACAAATAATATATTACACGTGACAAACCTTTCTCATTAATTTTTTCTTATAAAACGCGGCGTATTAAGTTCCACTTAGTAAGCTTGCAATAAGGTAAGTACTTTCTCTCGTAAATATGACGTCCCGTTATCCAATAATGGATCCCACTGACTAAATATGAGCTTACAAATTACGAGAGAAAGTTGTGAAAGTTTTTCTTTATTCTTAAATCGCATGCCAATTGTGCCATCTTTCACAAGCAAAGAACTCCCCCAAACTTCCTAACAAAACCTTTCGAAACACCAAAAACAGAAAATGCAGAGAATTCTCAAACTCAAGCAACTTGCTTCCAATTTTCCCAAAGCACCCATCAACACCACTACCTTCTCCAACTCTCTCACCACCATCAAAAACCCTCTTTTCAGCTCTTTTTCAAGACACCCATTTCACAGTAATCTTTCATGGAGTGCGCACCACACTCTGCCATTGAAAGCTGACACCTTTCTCTTCAACCCATTACTTGTGCAGCGCTCTTTCTTGTGTTTCTCAAGTACCCAGATGAGGAAATGTTTGTTTGATTGCAAAGTTTTGTTCTTGAGGGCTCAGTTACCAAAACGAAGTTTTCAGTTCACTCCAAGTTCTCGTTCTTCTGGCTGGTAATATTTATGTGTTTCTTTTGTTTTTGTTTTTTTCCAGTTTGTGGGTCTGTTTGATTGCTGACGATATTTACGGAAAAGTGAAAAAGAAAAGAAACTTGTGGTTTTGACTAACTGGAGAAGGTGTTTTGCATTTTCCTTTGATTTCTCGGCTTCCAAACAGAGCTTAGAGCTTTGTATATTTTAAGTAAAAAATTGGAAATTTTCATTTCATTTATTTGTGGTTTTGAGGGTCGTTTTTGCTGTATGTTTACGGGAACTGTATCCTAAATTGCTCTTATGTCATGATCAAATGTGAATATCATTGTATGTTCTTTTGAACTTCGAAGTAATGTGTCACTTGGTACAGACATTACTTTTTTTTTCAGGATTCATGACAGACATTGCGTGCACACGACTGCATTTGTGACTTTATATTTCTCTATTCATTTTTTCCTTAATCGGTTTATTCTCTTGTGATTTTGGGGAATTGTTGACGCCGGAGCATACTCACCTGTAATCTCTAAGATCACATGGTAAAAGAGAAAAATTGAGTAATACAGGCTGCTAAATCTGTTTTGGTTAGTAGCACAAATATGAGCAAATAGAATTACCATGTCTTGGGGTTTCTAATGCCCCGTTTGTAGGTTTTTTTTTTCTTATCAAGGGAATCAATCAATTTATCTGTGCACCATGTAGAAATGTTACCCATGTTGAGGTATAGATGATTAAAACCTTTGCCCCTTGTTTCATTTGACGAATAATGTTTCATTTTATTGAACCATTTTATTTGTCCTATATGAATCTTTCATGTAATATATTTGTTATTTTCATAGTGAATATGCAAGTTGGTTTGAACTTCATGATGATAATAGTTTCGAGAAATGTGTATATATTTCTAAATACCTTATTCGCAGGAGATCATGGTTCCACCGACTAACAGCTAATGACGTTGTTTTGGGCTTGATTATAACTAATGTTGCTGTTTTTTTATTATGGCGAATTGCAGATCAGAGTTTTATGGTGAAAAACTTTACTGTAAGTCCTCAATATTTTAACAAGATTTGACCAAATAATGAAATATAGATTTTCTTGTCTTTTTAGAGGTCTGGGTGAAGAAACGAGCCTAGGAACCTCTACCAGCATTTTTTATTTTTTTAGCAGTTAAAGCAGAATGTATCTTTAACAAATGAATACTCCTGTATGAAATACAATATAAAGATTTATATGCAAATTTGTTTCTAGTTCTCTATAACCTGGGGCCAAAATTCACAAGGCATGCGGTTGAAAGAGAGGCCACTTAGAATTGCAAGCAATTCTAATAGTAGTCTTATTTTTAATCACCATTTTATCCTAACTCATTGATTTTCTCTGAACAGGTTTCATTAGACAATGTTTTACATGGACGTGTGCATACAATGATAACTTCTGCATTCAGTCATGTTGACATGGAGCACATTGTGTCAAACATGATTGGACTTTACTTCTTCGGAATGAATGTATGACTACATGCCTTGTAAATCTCTTGTTTGGTTAAAAATTTTTATTTCTTTCTGCTGTTAGATTGTCACGCAAAGTTTCTGCGAAGTTCACCACTCAGCGATTGAAACCTCATCATTAGTTGTAAAAAGGTAACTTAGATTATGAAACTATGCATAAAATGAGCCTAATAATATTGTTGTATGGCTTTCCATACTAAGATGTATGGAGATCATGTGTTCTAGTCTTTAGAAATAATCGATAGGAAAATTAGATATGTTTTTCTCCGAATCATTTAAAATTGGTTTGTTCTGTGCATCCTGTTAGCAGTTTCAGCCAATGGGTTACAGTTTTTTAGGTTTTCTTCACTTTCTGGAAGACCACATAACTTTATGAATGAAAGATTAAGTTATAGGTAAACTAATAATAGCGTACATAAGAGGATATATGCTAGAATGATTTGAATGCTTTTGTATTTACACAAATAGTTGGGACTTGGAATAGGGCACTATTACTGCGGTGATAGCTAATATTACCTCTTGTTCTTATTTGTTTGGAAAATTAAAATTGATTATTTGTTCAATATATTTTTGGCTCTTTTTATGAGCAGATTGGGAACACTCTTGGACCAGAATATTTGCTGAAGTTGTATCTAGCCGGGGCTATTGGTGGTTCAGTGTTCTATTTAGTGCACCATGCATTTCTGGCTATGTCATCAAAGGTACAACAAAGCTCCAATAATATTTGAATTTCAACCCTATTATGAGATGACTAATAATTGGATTAGTAGTTGCTGTAAGTCAATATCTGACAATATTTGGAGTAGATTCTCTGATGGCTAAAATTTGATAAAGATTTTTTTTGTAAAATTTCCAATTTAACTGTAATGCATGGTTGCTGATGATGACATTAAATTTTTGTTAAACAAATTACAAAGAATAAAATTTATATATGTTCATTGGAATATAAATGTGAATATTCATATAGAGTTCTGCTCATAATTAATGATAGTGCAATATTCTTTAATCTGTTGGTGGGCTGATTATTAGTTTTGCCGCACTTCTTGCTATCTGCAGGGGCAAGGCATGTGGCAGAAGGACCCTTCCAGGACTCCTGCATTAGTAAGGATTCTCTCATTTTAAGTTTTAACATGCCTTTTAGAATGACTATTCTGGTTTGGCATTATAAGGTTCCATTATTTTCTGACAAAGTTTGAAAAATTAGTATCTTTTATCCCTGTTCAAATTACAGAGTTCATTGTTTTCTAAACATTTTGTATTTATTTTCATAATAAGCTTATCTAACTGCTCAGTTAACATCATAATCCTTTTTTTATTAATTTCATTTTGCCTTCTCTACTTTATACTATAATACACCCAACTAGAAACGTTTATTTTTTACATCACAATGCATCTCTCATATGGGCCTATATACATTCTTTGATTACCTTTTTGCATGGATTTCCTAGGATGATATTTTCCCAGGTTATGTTTATATTTCATATAATAGAAGTTTGAGAAAAAGCATTTGAAAGTTAAACTTTTTTCCTACATTCATAATCATAGTTTTTTTTTTTTTTTCAATAGATAAAGAAATGAAGTATTAGTTTGATTGTGGAATTCATTTAACTTGAGGATCTTCTTTGTCATTAAGGGGGCAAGTGGGGCTGTAAATGCTATCATGCTACTTAATATATTCCTGAATCCGAAGGCTACTATCTATCTTGACTTTATTATACCTGTGCCTGCCATGTTATTGGTAAGCTCCTTCAAATAGTTGTAGGACATGTTGGTTTGAGATTAATATGAATATGCTTAAAAGGTTTTTTTTCTTTGTTCTTTTAGGGAGTCTTTCTAATTGGTAAAGATGTTTTGAGGATAGTAGAGGTAAGTTTTTTATTTTTTCTACCTTTTTTACCTTCTTTTTGTGAACCATAATTGCTTAAACAATTTAACCTTATGTAATCTAAATGGTCAATAATAAGGTATTCTACTGAGAAGTATTGAAATGTTGTCCCATTTGAACTTGCTTTCACACAAATATGAGCATTAGCGATCATGACGATTGCTTCTATTATATCTCCCGCTTGGTTTAGTCTAACAACACTGTTTCTATGGTTTTCTTTTATGCCAATAGAAAATCTTTGGTCCCTTTTGATTTCACCCCACATTGGATTTAAAACCTGGAGATTTGAATCCAACCACTCTAAATCAAGGATAACCTATACTTTCAGATTCTGTTTGATGTGAGTTTGAATAGTGTTATTTTGATATTGTAGGGAAATAGTAATATCTCAGGATCAGCTCATTTGGGAGGTGTTGCTGTCGCAGCTATAGCATGGGCTCGAATTCGAAGGGGACTTTTCTAGTTTCTTGATTGATCAGCTAACTCTTTACATCACAAANACAATTTGTTTTTATAAAATATTTGAAAAATCTACATACATGAGGCTATCAAAATATCATTACTTGAAAACAAAATATCAATACAACAATAGTATCGATGATTTGATCTTGACAGTAATGATTTCCATACGTTATAGGCAATTGTATATAATAAAAGGTGTTAGAAAAATAAGTTGAAATCTTAGTAAAAAAGGAATTAAACTTGGCTCAGGAGAAAAGGAAAATTTTGGTCCTATTCGATTTAAGAGCATTGATAAAGTTTAGGAAGCCTAGGGTTAAAGAAGATATAAATATCTAATGATTCTGAAAGAATTATGATTGAAAAAAAAAAAAAGAAAAAAAAAAAAAGGAACTAGCACATGAGGTTAGTAAAATTTAAAAATTCTTGTATTCAATTGTCATCAATAAAATTCTTCAGAAAATTAATCTTCTGCTACAAAAATATTCTTACAATTTTTTTTTTTTTTTTTTTTGGCTAGTTAATTTTAGGTCGTGGCTAATTGTTTCAACATAAAAATTATTGTACAAGCTAGCTTAGTTAGTTAGATCTCTTGAAATTGAATGAAACGACTTGAAAATAAAATTTGTCCTTACTCAATAGTAGTACAATACTCTTTATAAAATACAAACATTATAATAATAATAATAATAATAATAATAATAATAATAATAATAAAATGTTGATTTACAACACTCTTAAGCAGCAGATTCCAATTCATGAGAAAGAACATTATTGGATCGATCTTTCTCATGCTCAAGCAGAAGCCAAACATGAGTGAGCAATTCTCCACCTCTCCTAAGTTGCTCAGCATGGAGAGTCCAAGGACAAATACTAGCTCCATGACACAAGATTTCCACCCAAACACTACTTATTATTCTCCATCTATCTTCTCTGTCTTGCAATTTTCTTGCCAAATCCTGCACCTGATGCAGCACATTCCATTGTGATGTAAGCATATTATTCTTGGGAAGTCCTTGGAAATAATTCTCATCAATGATTAGTTCATCTAGGATAATTGTACTGCATAATGTAGCTTCATCCTTTAATTGTTTTGTCTTCACAAATTCACCCACTTGTGCACGAGCACCACGAAAGAGAATGTCACCGATGACAATAGATAACATATCAGGTTGCATAGCCAAAAGATACATTATGTAATCTGATAGATTTTTGCTCATTTCACGTTGGGAGTGAGTGCTGGTACCTTCCGATTGGTCATCTTCTAAATAGTAGCAAACAGTAGTGGCAAGGTGCCATGTAATAATGGTTTTGCCAAAAGTGGTTTGCTTCTTAGCTTGGGTACCAAAATCTGTTTGAGTACTCCATTCCAAATCTCGGAGGCAATAACATCTTTCAACTAGCCATTGGCCACTTTCGGAGAAAGGTTGGCCATCTCTTTGAGCTTTTATCTCTTCCATTTGTTGTAGAATCAATTCCTTCAACTCTTCAGGGACTTGAATATCTTTCTTAACACAATACTTTTTGTACACCTTGTAGTAGCCCTTGAACTTGAGAATTCTACTAATCAACCCATCAAACTTTGTAGCCTCTTCATACAGACAATAGCTTAGTAAGTTGAATTGATCTATGCATTGTGACCACCTATGCTTCTTACTTATAACCTTTCGAGCAACAATTCTCAACAATCTTCTCATAAATGCACTTCTATTTTGTTTCATCAGGTGAAGTATGGCCCAATCCGAGTACAAAAGCTCCTTGATCTCATAAATTTCAAGTGCAACTACTCCCGTTCCCAATACAACGTAAATTATGCTATAGACACGTCCAAAAGTCCGGACTGAGTGCAACAAAAAATTAGCTAGGAGAAGAGTACAAATGATGCGACCCAAAAGACTTCTGATTGAATAGTTAATGGGTGATTTGGTGTAGAGTACATCGTACATAAAGCTAAGCTCAAATTCTATCAATTTAAAAACATCCTTTGGAAGATAGTCATCTACACTTATTGAAGGAAGATAAATTGATGAAGGGTGGCCTAGCCACTTTTCAAGGTAAGGCTTCAACCGATCAAACCGCTGATAAGCTTTCACAAGCAAAGCAACATCATCAGAATATGTTCCACTCACACGATTGCTGGAAGAAGAGCTAGACTCAGTTGGGATTTCTAATTTTTGAATATCGCTATTTTCCATAGTAGTTATCACAACATTTTCACTGTTACTTAATGATCTGAGAGCTTGAAGAGTGTCTATAACTTTGATAATTCCTGCCACATACAACGGTAACACTGCGGCATACAAATAGGAATCTGGAAACCACACTTTGTAAAAGATCCAAAGTGCTACGGCTACTTGGCTGGTTAGTCCAACAACTTGTCTCAACTTTAGCTTATTATCTTCGATTGAGTAGAATAATATATTAGGGCTACCAATTTGCACCAAAAGCAATGGTGCCCACCAACCGACGATGTAGCCATAAATAGCTGCATTGTCAAGTTCCTCATCAAACCATATCCCTTTTTTCTTCTTAAAAAAAGATTCACTCATACCAGAAACCTTGCCAAGGGCCAATGTTACCACAGGACTTGCCATTAAGTAGGACAACCAAAAAAAAAATCGGGTCAAATAACTTAAGCGGTACCTTCTGTGATTGCCAAAGATGGTAAGAATGGTTTGTGCCCCTAGACTCAATAACATTAGAGTCATGATCATGATAAGATCCAAAACTACCATCCATTCTAATCCCTCGGTGTCTGTGGATGGAGATGAACACTCCATTTCTTAAAGCTGGCAGATGAATAAACTTGAATTACTAAATTTTGAATTCTTATTCAATGAAAGAAACAAAATACAAGCTGACTTGTTTACATAGAGCACCTTAAGTAACTAATTAATAAACTAAGCTCACAATTAAAAACCTAACTACCTGCCAGCTCAGCTTAAGTACAATCAGTTACAAACATGCCAGTTGTACATGAACTCAATGAAGTGAAGTCTCTAGTGTAGCTGAAGTTAACTATTATTATTATTTGCTTCAACAAATAATAATCATAAGTTTTCGAAGGTAAGAAATATTTACGTCGGGGACAATTTATAACACCATTAAATATTGAAAGGTCAGAATGATGGAAGTTTAAATTATATATCAATAAAGTCTAGCGTGCTTGTATTCTTAATTTTGATTGAATTCTCCTTAGAAGTAATTACTTGTCAACTCAATTATTATTTGTAAGGCAAATTTGAAGAATTCTCAATGAAAAATACTAACTATTATCACTTTTTATGAATCTTTAGTCACCATGTTTTTACTTTTTAGTATAAATCTTTATGATTTTTTATAACATTTATATTAAATAATTTTTGTCGTGCCCCTCTTACAATTATTCTTTTTATCTAACTGATCTATTTTTATATTATCTCAGAGATTATCATGACTTATGTTTATTGCAAATTGTAGTAACTTTGATAGGAGTTCCTACATGTGTTAAAGACCCAACTTTTGTATTTGCCTCTTTTGAGGAGTCCTAAGTAGAGGATTTAAACAGTATAATGCTCCTTGTCCTAAACTCTTATGAGCATCTTCATTGATTGTAACGGGAGAATTGTGTTGTAGTCCATTAGAGTATCTTCCACATAGTTAGCTTATCTTTGACTCTCTGATTCTGATATCTAACACTAGAACTATTATAATTGTATTCTTCATTTGTTTGTCTTTGATCCTATAATACTGTTGTCAGATCCTGAAATTCCATATTCGCGGTATGTAATTTATGCTGCTAATTATCTATAATAATTCATATTCATAAACTAGCAATATATTATTTACTTTGTTTGATTCTGAACAAAATAGAGACAAAAAACAGGAACAGAATATAATAGTAAAATAAATCAAACAGTAAACAAAGAAAATAATACGCGCGATTTACCCTGGTTCACCCAATGTGGGTTACATCCAGCTGAGTCAATATTATTGCAATATGTCTCACCTCTCTCGTTTACAATGAATGAATTGCTCTCCCCTCTATAACAAGAGAAAAGTATGATTATATACTAGGTTTAAGAGACTAAATCTAGTTTTACATGGATTCCTATTCCTAAGCCCAACCCAAAAAGGAATTAGTAACTTAAAAGAAATCCTACAACGGTTATACATGGAAAAGCCCAAAACCCTCCTACGGGCTTGGGTGCGTCTCCGTTACCCATTAATGCTGAAGTAGTCGACAACTCCAACAGATTCTACATTCCTCATATTTGATACTAAAACTATTATTATTAACCGTTACGCTTTGTTAGCTCTTCTCTGATTTTATGATTCTTTATTAACTCACCTACAACTCTATAACCTTGTTATTTATGAAATTCTAAAAATTCTGACACTGAACTGTTATTTACTGTACTCTTTAATAACCCATATCTGGCCCTATAAATTTGATATCAAATACTGAGATTTTACTATAATTGAACTATTTATTAACTTCTCTCTGTTTGTGATTAAACTTTTAGTAGTATTGTATCTGACCATTTTCTGTAAACTCATCTTTATGAATTGATAACATACACTATGTTCTTTAATGATTCTTATCTTCTCTGTAAATATGATATTGATTATTGTAGCTCTTACCACTACTTGTACCCAGGAGAAACCTATCATACCTCGTGGGCTTCCCACAAACAGGCGGGGCGGGCGAAAAAAAATATACTTACCCGGCAATTGTAATATTGCACGAGCAGAGTAACTAAAATCTATCATACCCAACAAACTCTTAACATTGTGTGGGCGGAGCAACTGAATCTATCAAACCCGACAAACTCTAACGTCACTTTGATAGAGCAACCTAACTGAATCTGTCATACCTAGCAAGCTCTAACATCGTATGGACAAAGCAACTGAATGTGTCATACCCTACAAGCTCTAACATTGCTCAAGAAGAGCAACTGAGATCTGTCATACCTGGTAAGAAGCTCATCGCTCAAGTAGAATAATAAATCTATCATATGCATGAGTAAAGTCATATTTGAAATCTATAATCTATAATTTGTAATCAAAATATGATTTGAGGGATGGGTATTTCATAAGGTGGTTTGAAACCTCTTTTTGTGTTCTCATTTGACTAATACTGATTTTTCTTTAACAGCGTATAATCTTCTTGTAATAATATATGCTAACAATATTATGGGTTAGAGTGTAAATTTTTACAACTATTTCTCTAAGTCGTAACTCTTCCCGTAAGTATTGTCTTTCAACTTTCACAGTGTTCCCCACACTAGTTTTTTCCACGACAGTAATTGATGCTAATCATTTGGACAATTTTGTACAACTAACTATGAATCATTTGTAGCTACCATCCCTTATAAACATTACTAACATAGTAACATGAATGTATTAATTAACTGATTTTTTTTCTTTTATTAAACTGGAAAATGTTTGAAAGCTTGTATCAATCATCCGTTACCTGATTCTAAGATCACTGACTACTAACATAAATCAAATAATAAAAAATCCAACTCAATAGTACCATTTTCTAAAGCTTCTCTTTAACTTCTAATGTAACAATAATACTGTTATTATCCATCCAACTAATCCATTGAAAGAAGATAACATACTGTAATATCGTAAAATAAAACCAAATATTCTAAAATTAAACTAATTTCTCTTTTGCCTTACATCTTCTCTAGTTAGTCTTTATCTCATCATTTGACACATGCATGTTATTATGTTCCCAAAAAAATAATACGACATCTATAAGCTTTTCATATAAACTCATATATACAAACTGACACATATTAATGTGATTGTGTGATTTTGAATTAAGTAATGCTAGACGTACAAATAAATCTTACAAAGATTTGTGTACAAACTGATGTAACAGGAAATGAATGTAAAAGTGAATATAGAAAGTCAAACTCATCATACTTACTATTTCATTCATTTTCTGTCACATAAGTTTATACACAAATCTTTGTAAGATTTATTTGTATACTAGCATTATTGTTTTGAATTAGATATAAACTTATAATTAGGTCATATTTGGTTTGTGGATTAAAAATTGATGGAAGGAAAGTATGATGAATGGAAATCAATGGAAGGGAAGTATTATGAATGAAAAGAATGAGATTAGTTTGCTTGGTTGTAATATGGGATGTTGATGGAATTGAAAACAATTTGCTGATTTTAGACGTTATTTCGTTTAATAAATAAAATTTTTATTTTTTTAATTAAATATAAAATTCAAAATATTTAAAAATAAATAAAATTTTAAAAAATTATAGAAGTTTCGAACCAGTCAACGTCTTTTAAATGCGTTGGTCAACAAATTTGCCCACGCTCAGCATCATCGTCAATGTCTACGAAACCAATGCCTGACTAACTGTTGATTTAGGCAGATCCTGATGGCCAAAAACTAGCATTATCATGACATCAGGCGAGATGGCATTTATCACGACCACCGCGTGTGATGTCATGATGCTGGTTTTTTACGATCAAGATCTGCTCAGATTGGCAGATCATCAACCGCTGATTGCTCATGCATCGACAATGACACCAACTACGTGATGAAAATGGGCCGTAGCATTGATCAATTTGAAGATTTTTGAATTTTTTAAAATTTCTTAAAATTTTAAAACATTTAATAAAATAATTATTGAATTATAAAATAGTTTAAATTTAAAAAAATCGATTTAGGGGTGAAATGAGAAATGACAATTTAAAGAAGGGGTAAATTAGACATTTTAACCACCTTTTTTCAAGGAATAAGATTCCTATTTCTTATGCATCTCTTATAAACCAAACAAGAGGTAAGGAATAAGATTCATATTCCTTTGTATAGTCATCCCAACCAAATGTGACCTTAGTTATATAATATGTCAAATATGTAAGATTGTCAAATGGGTTTATAGGAAATAGTTTGTATAATTAGTTTATATATGTAACATTAGACTTCTAGAAAAGTGTATAAAATTTTGCTCCCATTTAACTCATACATTATCCAAGAAAAACAGCACAAACTTTTAATTTATGAAATGGAGAATCTAACCTTTATCTATTCAATCATGCATATTAGCAGACTTGTGAAATTTTCTTAGTAAAATACTCCACCATCTTTTACATCGCGGACTACTAATAATTGAAATTAAATTTCTATTCAATAATACCACTTAGTCAACACTTCACATCAAATTAAGCTTACTCACTTTTCTATAACAAGCAGCAAACTATAAAAGTTGAATATTTGGCAATTTGCTCTTTAATTTCTTCATTTTTCTCCTCCCCTTTCTATCTTCTTTTCTTCCTACTCTCGGTTTCCTTCTCCCTTCCTCTGTGTTTCTTTTTTTAATCATCATCATCATCATCTTCTTCTTCTTCTTCTTCTTCTTCTCTTCTTTCTTTCATTTCTCTCCTTCCTCTCTCTTCTTCTCGATTCTTATCCTCTCTTCTCTTACTTTCTTTATAATTTTTTTTTTTTAACATTATTATTTTTCCCTTACTCCTTTTGATTATTTCCTATGTCACCCTATTTTATTCATCTTTTATTCCCTCACAACCTAAGAAGATTAAAACCTTTGAATTAAGCCCCTGTCTTTCCATCACATAG